CACTGAGTGTTAGTAAGGGGGCAACAGTCCCCTTACACATAGAGAGAGACTTATCTGTGTGCCATAGGCCCTATGCTACTAAAATCTAATGGGGATTTTCTGTCACCTAAAGTAAAAGGGGCCAGTGCTTTCGGAGCAGGAAGATTAGGGTCCTATGCCTGCTATTTTCCAAGTCTCCATGTGGCTGTTTTGGGCAGCACAGTGACAATGAAACATTCCGAGACAGCCACAAATTTGCTACACTATTTAAAGAACAACAGGCACCTCTGAAAGTGTAAACCTTCAACCATTCCTCTTAGACATCTGAATGTTCTCATTCATGCATTGTTGGTGTCTGGGTTACACTGCAACCTCCTTGGAGCACAGAGACATGGGTCAGAATGCGGCCCTCCAGCAGATTCCCTGGGCAGGAGCTGTATTGGGCCCATGAACACAGTGCTACATTGGCTGTTCCCCTGCCTGGCTGCCAGCAGAGGGACATGCTGGGAAAGGGGGTTGAGGGTGGGGGCCTATCATAGGCAGGAGAGGGAAGGTCCAGCACACTCAGCACTGTAACAATTCTGGGATGCTAAGTAGCTCATAGTGAGGCGTGTAAGGCCACCATAAGGTAAAGCAGCCCTCTGGGCTACCTTGACTTATGCCCAGGGCCACTTGGACTCCTGGAACAGCCCAGAACCTGGAAGCACAAAGCTAGTATAAAGAGCCTTTACCTTCCTACATAAAAGGTGCAGCCCAGAATCAGACTTTTGTCTTTTGCTATGTTTGCACAGTGTCGGGTGCACTGTTATTGCACAGAGCGTCAAAGTAAAAAATATTGGGGCAATGAAGTTCTCTCCACTTCCTCTGACCTTAGAGGGTGGGTGGGTTCAGGTTGAGTTTGCATTCTGGATGAAGGTTAAAGTCACTTCCAATACAGTTTGGGGTTCTTTGCTCTATTACAAGGAAGCTTTTCTTAATAGAAGAAGAATTTTATAGGGATGCTGGTCTAGGAAAGAAGTGTTGGATGGATAGCACTGGAACCAGAAGCCCATTGTTTAGGTACAGAACACGGACAGCAGCAACACTGCAATGTTCTTCATGCCAACTGTTCCCCAACACACATTACAGGACTTCATGGAACTGAAATGAATGCATTTGGATATGGTACCTCTCACTCGTGACTCCAATCAAAGAATCTCCGTTGACCTCCAAGATCTGATCTCCTGGCTGCAAGCGTCCTAAACAAAGAAACCAGGAGACATTGGATGGATGGTTAATTCTTCCTGTAGTATGCTTTAATTCCCTGGAAGGCATAAAGGCAAATCACAAAATGCAGAAGGTTTTGCAGGGGTCTAGAATTGTTCCTGTATCTGGAGATGCTAGTGATTATATATCTTAGATTAGTTTGGATTGTTAGACACATTGGTTAACTGATCAAAAGACCCAATTCTGTTGGGAAAAAACAATGTTGGCTTGTGTTCAAAGGGGCCAAATCCTGAATTCTGTCCAGTTCCCCCTCCCTCCTTACTCAGGAGAAACTCACTAGAGGTTTACCTGAGTGAAGAGCGAGCAAAATCGAGCAAGTGTCTCAGGAGGTCTTTGTGGCCTGGAGGCAGCATACGACTAATGAGATCTGATTTTAAAAAGAGAATCCTAAAATTGAGAGAATCTGCTGTGTAGCATGGATGTGTCTCTGTGCAGGGGGTGGAATGACATCTAAACACTCTATCTAAACACCTTAGAAATAAGAGAGCAGGTTTGACCTTAGACATGAAAATAGTTTGCCAGATCTAGATGCAGGTTTAGGAAGAAGCATCAGAAACAGGATCAGTATAACTACTTGATGTGAACAAATATATCACTACTCAATTTCCCATGGCTTGTAACTCACCATCAGCATAAGCCACACCGCCTGGTAGGATCCTCTTTACATAAACTCCATATTCTTCTCTTGTCAACTCCTTGACGCCACCGATTACCTTAATACCTAGGAAGAAAAGTCACTCAATTACACAGCAGCTAGCGCCAGGCATAACTTCCACAGGAGAGTACTACCATGGGGGTCATGGAGAGTGATAGCTCCAAACACAGCCAACCAACATCACCCCATATCATGAATACAATCTTCCCTTCACCCCCAGCTTGATTCCACAGATTTCACCAGGGGGATGAAGCCTTTGATTTATACACAAGGCAAATCCAACACAAACCCACATAAGAAGAACTAATACTTGGGATGATATTACTTCCCCAGGGTTTGAATAATGCCGGTCAATGTTGGGAAAATACTGCACAAATATGGCAAACATTCACTCAAGTATAAATAGCAAATTCACTTAGATGGCTTCATCAACAGGACGCATGTGGAAATATCTGGGGTGGAGGATGCAAGCCAACTACAGATGGCAACACCAGAGGAGGAGGAGGAACTGGCTGCTCTGCAGGGAGGAGAGTGGCTGTTGGCCACCTTGGGCAATAGACAGTGCTCCACCCCTGACCCAGGTCCTCTGTCCAAGGTGGTCAAGAACCAGTGTGCTGAACTAGCAACAGAAGGTGAGAAGCAGACCCCAATGGCTGAGGAGGAGGAGATACTTGTTTCCAAGGCTGGGAAGCTCAAGGCCACCACACCTAAGAGGGGGAGACGCAGGGTTCCAGTGGTTGGTGACTCCCTTCTGGATGGAGGCTTACAACTGCCGACCTGACATGATGTCCTGGGAGAGTGCTGCCTGCCTGGAGCCCACATCTGAGACATTATGGAAAGGTTGCCAAGACACATCCATCTGTGTGACCACTACCTCATGCTGCTCATCCATGTGGGTACTAATGATACGGCCAGGTCTGATATTGAACAGATCAGCAACAACTATAGGGCTCTGCAAATGAGAGCGAAGGAGTCGGGGGCACAGATTGTGTTCTCGTCCATCCTCCTGGTTGAAGGCAAGGACCCAGGCAGAAACACATGCATTCTGGAGATGAATGCATGGCTGCACTGATGGTGTCGATGGGAGACCTTTGGCTTCCTCAACCATGGGATGCTGTTCTGGGAAGGAGGACTCGTGGGAAGAGACAGAGTCCACCTAACCGAGAAGGGGAAGAGCTACCCACAGGTAAACATAAAAAATGGCAACGTTAACAGAGGGCTAAATGTTGGGAAGGTTTTGTGGAGGAGAGATGGAAAATTACAATACAAACTAGGGAAAGAACATGTTAAAGAATATTAGATAAGTTAGATGTATTCAAGACAGCAGAGCTGATGAAATTCATCCTCAGGTATTTAAGGAACTAGCAATTATCCTCACAAACTCAGACAATGGATGAGGTCCCAGAGAACCGGGGAAGGGCGAACATAACACCTATCTTTAAAAAGGGAAACAAAGAGGCCTGGGGAATTATAGACCAGTCAGCCTACCTTTGATACCTGGAAAGATTCTGGAACAAATTATTAAACAATCAATTTGTAAGCACCTAGAGGATAATAGAGGTATAAGGAATAGCCAGCACAGACTTATCAAGAACAAATCATGCCAAACCAACCTTATTTCCTTCTTTAACAGGGTTATTGGGCTAGTGGATGAAGGATTGGGGGGGAGAGGGTAGCAGAAGATGTGATATATCTTGATGTTAGTAAGGCTTTTGACACAGTCCCACATGACATTCTCATAAGCAAACCAGGGAAATGTGGTCTAGTTGAAGTTACTATAAGGTGCGTGCACAACTGGTTGAAAGACGGTACTCAAAGAGTAGTTATCCATGCTTTGCTGTCAAACTGGGAGGGAGTATCTAATGGGCCCCCCTGGGATCTGTCCTGGGTCTGGTACTCTTCAATATTTTCATTAATGACTTGGATAACGGAGTGGAGAGTAATGACATCAAGCTGGAAGGGACTGCAAGCATTTCGGAGGACAGAATAGAATTCACAGTGACCTTGACACATTAAAGAATTGGTCTGAAATCAACAAGATGAAAGTCAATAAGGAAACGCACAACTACAAAATGGGGAAGAGCTGTTTAGGTGGTAATACTGGTGAAGAGGATCTGGGGGTTACAATGGATCACAAATTGAATAGGAGTTGACAATGTAGTGCAGTTGCAAAAACAAGCTGATATCATTCTGAGTTGTATTAACAGGAGCGCCGAATGCAAGACACAGGAGGCAGCTGTCCCGCTCCAATTAGGCAGTGATGAAACCTCAGCTGCAGTACTGTGTCCAATTCTGGGTGCTAGACATTAGGTAAGATGTGGATAAATTGGAGAGAGTCCAGAGGAGAGCAACAAATAATGATAACAGGTTTAGAAAACCTGTGACCTCAGAGGAAAGGTTAAAAAAACTGGGCACGTTTAGTCTTGAGAAAGGACGGCTGAGTGGGGACCTGATAACAATCTTAAAATACATTAAGGGCTGTTACAAAGAGGACTGTGATCAATGGTTCTCCATGCCCACTGAAGGTAGGACAAGAAGTAATGGGCTTAATCTGCAGCAAGGGACATTTTGGTAAAATATTAGTAAAAACTTTAAGGCTAATTAAGCACCGGAACAGGCTTCCAGCTAAGGGCGGTTGTGGAATCCCCATCACAGGAGGTTTTTAAGAACAGGCTGGACAAACACCTCTTGGAGCATCTAGGTTTACCTGGTCCTGCCTCAGCACATGGGGTCTGAACTTCACCTCTCAAGTTCCTTCCAGCCCTGCTTTTCTATGATTCTATGGCATTCACCATCCCTTTCATTCGCTTCCCCCAGCCAAAACAGCGTGGGAGCAATGTCTGGTTTGTAGACATGCTTGGGGAAAGGGAATGCCTTGCAACCATGTAGTCTGCACAGCTGGAAGGTTGGTGGGCCCATCTTGTAAACTAACTGGGTTTGGGAGTGAGGAGCAGAAACAAAAGTATATGACCTGGGTGCCCAATGACACAGCAAAAACCACAACTTATAAATAGTGCACACGCAAATCAGTCGCCACGGAGTAGAATATCCAAGGAAACTGTAGCTCAGGAATGTCTCCAGAGACCTCCCCACATCAAATCAGTTCAACATTTCAACTAGACAAATTCAGCCAAATCAAATTCTGCTGATGGATAAATCCCTAACACCCAGCTCCAATATCTCTGATCAGACAAAGAGAGCTGCATCATGGGACCATTATTGTGGACAGCTGCATCTTCAGCCCCTGAGAGAGAGAGAGATCTTCAGCTTTTCCCACAATCCATTCAAGCACTAGACTTAACACAGGGAACAGAAATGTCGCTGCTAACATACGTGGCTCAGCACATGTTGCATGGCACCCCCTAGTGGCTGAGTCACAGAGGGTTAGGAAACTACCACTGTCTCCAGAGATAAAAACCTTTGGCAGAAGCAGTAGAGGCTCCAGCTTTTAGATGGAGCTTTTGTGACTTGGGCAGAGCAGATCAGAGATAGGAGCCAGAATGCCGAGCACATGAGTATTTCACAACCCTGAACAACAGTACCACAGAAGAGTCCTAGATGTTCATTTTGAAAAGATGGGCACCTCGCATTTAGGATTCTAGCAATATTAACTGATTAAAGCTGGTGTCCTGGCAGTGCCATGGAGAACTCCAAGGCAGTGGGGTTCCATACAGCAGCACCCTAATAATTCCAGCCAGCACGTCTCTTTCCTAATTGCGGCAACCTGTGTATGCCAGTTAAGATCACACGACCTAAAGCAAGTCATGCCCTCTCAGTGCCAGCTGAGATTTCAGTGGCATGAACTTCCTCAGTAAGTTCCTCCAAACTACCATGGGAATTTCTTGGTGGGGAAGGGATCCATTTGGCTTCCACCCCCTTTATACCACTGGAGTCATACACAGGAGCAAGACCATAGCCCAGAATTGGGACCAAATATTCCTACGTAGCATTCGAGAGATTTCTGTGTATGAAGAGCAGAGGAAGAGAGTCCCCTGCTTTAAGGCTTCTTTGCTAAGGGACTACCACAACACATTTCTGCCTCTGAATGTGGCATAGCTGATGTTATTTTAATGCAGGGGGTTTTATGGTGCTTACACACAGCAATGCCAAACTACATAAGCTGCTTGGCTTGAAAAGGCAGAGGAGACTGATTTGTCACGGGCTCATTAAATCCCGATTCTAGGGCTCTGGACTGTGGAATTAAGAATGCTGGCTTTAATTAACAAATCTTCCCAGAGATCCACTGCTGATCAGACATTTGACTGCACTGAATCCAAGGCGGAATGGGGGTATTCAGAAGGCAGAATACACACCAAAGAATGCTCAGTCCCACACCCCCAACATGGGACGCTGTAGCGCCACTGGAAAAGCAACCTCCCAGGTTCTTTATGCCCCGTGGCTTCCTCCTCAAACACCTCTGAAAAATCCTAATCAACAGGACAGCTTTTAGAAATCAATAGATAGTTTTACTGAGCAGCTTCTGGGGGAGATCCATGACCTTAGTGCCATGCTAAGGGATCTAGATGGAGGTTTGCAAAGCCAACAAAGGGATTTAGCAACACTACTTCCCTTCATTACAATTAATGGGAGTTGTGTGGCTGAATTCACTCGTCAGCAATGAACAACTCAACATACTGTGGCCTTGTTTAGATTTCTGCGCACACCTGCCCATTCATTGCAGATGCCCATGACATCAAATTCCCCTCACTAGAGCTAAACTGCAGCCATTCCACCCACCCCAGGAGACCTGCAGCCAGCAAGCCAGGCACAGTAAAGGTAGGAACAATTCTCCTCCTCCATCCATTAATCACCCTTGGGATTCTCACCCTTTTCCAAATGATCAGGTGACGAGATGAACTGATGGCCATTGGATGGGGGCTATTCTTGACCCAGGGCAGAGAGAGTTCCAAAGTCAAGGGGTTCTCACAGAGAAAGCCCTGCTAATAGTTTCTTCTTGTTTATAGTCTGAGCTCCTCCACTGGTCTTGGCTGTGGCTTCTGAAGCGGGCAGGTCATAAAACTGGCTTAGTAGTTTAGAACTAGAGCCAGTCAGAATTTTTTCCAGAT